AAGTCTGAACCACCAATTTTGTCCCCGCCCCTGTGTCAGGGCCCCAGGCTCTCAGCTGTCAGGACCAGCTTCCGGCTTCCCCAGCAACGTCTCTTTAGATACCTTTGTTTCCCTGCAGGTCACCTGCCGCCCCCCCAACCCTGGCCTAGTGACATTCCCTTGTTTTCTGTCTTGGCGCGTCCTCACGGGCACCGTTCTGCTCTCCTCCCTGTCGGTCCCTTGGATGCAGGGCCCCCCACCCTCTGCTTGTCCGCCTAAACGTGGCCTCCGCCCCCAGCACCCTGGTCAGGCCTTGGGCAACGACTGTCCACACCTAACAAATGAGGACTCATCTGTGGACACCCCCCCACCAACCCCCGAGCTATTCGTTCAATTCCCAACCCGAACGATTTAATCCCAGCTTTTCCTCCCGTTTACCACCAGGGACCGGCCCTCATCTGCTGAGACTCCCACCGACTTCTGGCTTTCCGGGCTGTGATGCCACCACCTGGACTCTGACCGTGAGTTAGTCACCGGCAGTCACGGTGTCCGGATTCCAAGCGCCAGCGCGGGAAATGCCACCCGCGGCCAGTCCGCGTCTGGCCTCCGGGCTCTCCGGTTCCTTCTGCTCTCCCACAAACAGCCCAGGGAAAAGCAAGCGACGTCAAACGTCGAAATACACGATTTCATTCTCTCGCGACAAATACACAGCTGCAGGGCACCTACATCATTTCAGGAACAAGGACACGGGGCCGCGGTCAGGACGGCACCCACAGGCCTGTGTTTGCTCGGCTGCCCCAGGGCTCGGGCCCGGCCGGAAGCTTCGCTGAGATTCTCTCTGTGGCCCAGGATGATGCGGAGGGGAAAGGGAGACGCCGGCCAGTCCACTCTCCCCTCACGGCACCCCAAGGTGGCCGCAGAAGGGATGACAGCGAGGTGGCCGCAGAAGGGACGACAGCGGGGCTCTCGAGTGCGGCCCCAGGGCACGCTGGTTCATCCAGGCACCGCACTGCTGGTCTTGGTGACAAGACAGCAGGGCCAGCGGGGGGTCTGCCCAGGGCCAGCAGACGTCCGAGCTGCGGGCCGTTGGGCGCCCCTCGCCCCGCACACCCCAGCTGAGCAAGCTACCTGGAGAGATGACTGCACACGGGGCCGTTAGCCCCTCTCCTGGGTGCGTCCTCCCTCCGAGCCGGGAGCACACGTCCTCCCGCGAGCGGCCACGAGACGCGTGGGGTGGGAGGGCTCGGCGCTTGGAAACGGACCGAATCCAGCATTCCAACAGGATTCACTTATTTATTGATTTTGATATTAAGCCACTTCACAGCAGTAACTGCCGGAGCGAGAACAGGACCCGGCTTCTAAAGGTAACAAAATAACAACGACGTCACAGACAGAAGCACTGGGGACATTCCACGCAGGGCACGCTGGCTTCCTTCTGCGGCCACAGCGGGCAGGTGCTCAGCGCCATCCCAGCACGGACTCCTGGTCCCTTCCTTCGCCTTGGCCCGCGGAGCACCCTGGGCTGTGGTGCCGGGCCAGGCGGCCTCGCCGCACCGTCCTCGTCCACACGGCCATCCTCGGTCCCTCGGTCGGTGAGCCGTGCTCCGGCGACCAAACAACTAGCGCCAAAAAGCTGCTTCTTCCTCTTCGCCAAGTAACCACGACACTCCCTTCTCTTTCTTTCTCGTCAAGGAAAGAAAAGTCTCAGAGACATATGGCACTAGAATGGGACACTACGCGGGGGCACCCGTCACGACCCGCCCAGGGCCGCCAGCCCACGGCGCCCGGCCCGCCGTCAGATGTAGAGCTGATGCGAGGCCAAGGTGTCCATGAAAGGGCGCACCAGGTTGTCCGTGGAGAAGTAAAAGATGAGGCCGAAGGTGATGGAGATGGGGAGGGCGGGCAGCGCCTTCTTGAACACGGCCAGCAGCAGGAGGGTCAGACACA